CTTGTCCTTTTTGACAATAACCAACGATGATGCTGATTTCCCATTTTGTTCCTCATCACTTATCTCCATTAGATCTTGGTTATTATACGATTTAGTTGATGATTTATCGGGAATTCTAGTTGATGATTGAGATTTGTACACCGTTTTGCCATGTTTAGAAGATGATGACTGTTTTGTTTTTGAACGTTTACTGTTCGATCGATAACTAGATTTTGATGAGGCGTTTGAAGATGACAATGAGGAAGTAGAAGACGAAGACGATGATGTAGATGTTGAACGTCTTTTATCACTTTTTTTCGATTTTTTATATTGACTATGATTTACTATGGCCATTGTTGAAGAAGAAAGAACTGAGGGGAGAGTGATAGTGGGTTCTTTGGGAACAACTACCGCTTGTTGTACTGTTTGTCCACTTGTATCAACTTTTGAGTTTAATAGACGTAGGCGATGTGTTATGGCACTTGCACGTGCATAAGCATCAAGTGCACTTGACTGACAAATTCGAGAAGTGGATATTTGTTGTGGTTGAATTTGAGGTGGCAAAGATGGTGGTGGAGGAATCGATGAAGGCTGTTGTTGAATTAATCTTGAATTACCCAAAGCTGGATTAGAGAGATCCATCTAAGAAGAAGACATATTACATAATTACAATACAAATTGTTGGTCTGTGCACCAGAAGTAGATCAATAACTTTTCTTCTTTCAGCTTTTAATGTTCCTTATCATTTATACTAAATAACACTGGAAATTGACAACAGTATTTTTTGCTTAGAAAGAAGCGTATAAACAGCCGGATATTAAATACTCTGTCACAAACAATCTTACCCTATTGAAATTCGATTTTATTTCGTCTGTTTGATATTGAATGTGTAAATCTTGTTCTTGAGAGAATTTTGTTTGTCTTTTAACAAGAACAGTTCCATCACTTTCATTTTTACCGACAATTTTTGTTGGAGACACTTGTATTGTTTCAATTGTTGATGGTTGTTGAATTTGCATTTGTGTCTGAGATTGACTCTGATCTTCATTTCCAACTAATTCTCGTACTTTATGCGATGTCTTTTTTCCAATACCCCACATTTTACTTAGCAATGCACGACGTTTAGAAGCTTCGTCAGCATTGCTTGGCTGTTGATCTAAATAAAGTCAAAGCAAATTACTTTTACATTATAAATGTAATATCCAGTTAAAGTAGAGAGCTAAAGGACTTAAAACTCATAAACATTGACAGACATTTTAATCTCTAATGAGATTGACAACAAGCAATCGATTTTCCTCTCAAATAAATTTTTGAGCAAAATCCCTGATCAACATGAGCTATAATTTTATATCTAGCGCGTATACATCTACTGCTACAAATGATAAATATTCTTACCAGATTGATTTGCTGTTGACATAATGTTGTGTCTAATTTAAAATACGTTTGATTAATATAATATGCGAAATTAATCTTTGTTTATTTTAAAAAAAAGCACTTGTTGGTTATTAGCCCTTAAACAGAAGGTAAAAATGATTTACAGATAGTGCAAACAAATGAAATATACCTGATCGTCTTAATTTTGAAATAAACACCCTTATCTTGCGATCGATAAACGCGTGAGTTGGTACCATCATGTTGGAGCAAAATGAATCTAAAATACAGACATAAATACTACAATTAAAAACAGCGAAAAATGATGTTACATCGATTAAAGCAACAAATTCTATTTATCTACATACGTACACAGAAGGCAATATACTGAGGTCAAGATAAGCTACATTGAAATCATCGTACAGTAAAAATATCGCCATTGAAGCGTATTTTGTGCCTGCATTTCTTTTACAGGTTATGATTAAAATAAAAGAACAACTTTAGTCAAAGACATACTATTCCAACTAATTTCATTTCATATTAAACTCTAACTACGCTCACTTTACTTAAAATGTTTTAATTGGAAGTCTATATTATATGGGATTAGATAGATGGAGAAATCAAAAAAAGTCGAAAAAGGAAGAAAATTTGTTCAATTCTAATTGTCTAATATTTCAGAAACAAACAAACTGTTAAGCTGGAAATTATAGAATTATTTGTAATTTGAATACGGCTAGATAGCGACCAAATTTCATCAAACTCTTGGATGAAATCTTACATTTTTTCCTCCAAGAATAATTTACAGTGAAACTTCATGTTAGCCTTTCAATGTATCTTATCTTGACCATATACCTAAGTAAATAGAATTGAAACTGAAATAAAATATGGAGTATGAAAATCAAATTTATTGGTAAACAGAGCAGAGCAATCACAAAACAAAGTGCACCGATAGTGCTGAATGCAACAAGATTTCGGCATGCCGATAGTCTAAAAGAAAAATCTTTTGATAACCAAATAAACGAATCAATGTCATGCAACTGAATGGAATAGTGAGATAGTAGCGCCACCAAATAGATTATGTTTCTCTAGGTGAAAAGATCCGAAATACTACTAATGCGCTATTTTGTACAATATTGAACTTTATTTAAAGTTATAAACCGCGATCGAGTTATCGAGCCCGCTTCTTAATCGAATATGTGCCAGAGCAATCTTTAAACTCAAGTATATAAGAAATTCAGATTGTTGTTCGTCTTGAACATTGTTCAATACAAAACTACTTCGGTTTTACACAACATTTTCAGACAATTACATTTTTTTACGCATGGAATAAAAATCTTGAATTATCTGATTTATAAATAACGTCTAATCATATCATCGACAGAAAAATAAAGTTGGTGCAGAGTTGCGAAAAAGTGCTCTTTCGTATTCAGTACACTCGATAACCTAGACGATTTTCTATTTTCGAAGAGATGTTTGCTAAAAATTTAGGAAAATTTTTCGAATAAAATGGCGAAAAAAATATTTGTTTGAAAATTTTTCTGAAACATTTGACAGTACTCTCTCGCCAATAATAGAAAATTTTCAACACGAGTGTAAATCTAACGTATTTAGACTAACTTGTTTTTGTTTTGGATAATAAATTACAGGTGCGTCTATTTCCTAGTATAAAATAAAACTTTTATTTCTGTTACTCTCTCACTCTTTCTCTCCCTGTAAACCTCTGTCAATCATTCTCATTCACGTACACAAAACTAATTTGTTACATTTACAATAAAAGAAAAAAGATTTGAAACAAATCGATATTGTTCATGCAGCAACGAAAAAAGGAGGAAAATGAAACTATGAACATAGAATTACTATTGATAATGTGTGCGAAAGCTTCAGATATTTTACAAGCTTACATTTTGTTTTCTCTCATTTTACTCTCCAATTATATTTATCATTGGCTGGCGACAATACGAAACAAAGTAAAAAGACCAAAAAACAAAAATTCTAGGTTATAGCCGATATACACAAATATAAAAGTAATCATAGAAAAAAACAAAAAAATAAATCTACTTCAATCATCATTATCATTAGCTCATAAGTTAAGAAATGATAAATAGTCCTCTTGATCTTCTTGACCACTTGATGGAGTATTATAAGAATAATCATCACTGGACAACCATGTTGGAGCAATTTCTCTTCCAGATGTTGTTGACCAATCTAAAACTAAAATATTCATGAATCAATAAGAGTTTTACATCTTTTTAATTCAATCTATAATTAAAATTTTATTTAACCTACCATTTGTTAAATTATCATGAACGTTATTATTTAAAGCTAAAAAATCACTTTTTTGTTCAACATATGGTGAAAATTGACCAACTGAACAAGGAGTTGGCGGATAAGCAGACATTGGTGGAGATAGTTGTATCGATGATTCATTATATACAAAATTAGAATTATCGATTGATGAAATTGGAACAAGTTCATTTCCATATAAATTGTATGTTTGATCGATTCCAGGACGAATCTGAGATTGTTGTAATTGCTGTTGTAAAAGACGATCTTGATTTCGAATTACTTGAATACGTGTTAGTCGAGGTGAATAAGGACGTTGAATATGTGGCAATGATTGTTCTACTGACGATGTTGATATTTGTGTTATTAAATTTGGTGCAATAATAACGGGATCTAAAATAATTAAAAATATAATTTAATGAAATTATAATTTTAATAATATTATAATTTTATAATATTATAATTTATTATAATTTTAATAAAATTAACCTACAATTTTGAATATAGGGAATTATTGATTGATTTATCGATTGTAAACTATCTTTTAATCGTTGTTCTAATGTTGATAAATCTGGTGATGAATGATCTTGTAAACCAGGAGGATAGACTTGAAAATAAGGATGTACCGGTACTTGAGGTTGAACTAATGGTAGAAGAACTGATGTTTGTTGTACATCATATGGATGTACACGAGCTAAAAGAGTAAAAATAGACAAATACACATTTAATCTATAAGATGAGAAACACAAAGATTTTAATTATCTTAGATTTAAATTGACGTATTGTTACAGATATTTCAACAAATGAAAATTTTAACTTTTTATTGTATATTTCTATTTGAACTACGATTTTATATGTTTAATAATAGTTGCTAATTCATTTTACCAATTTTTTTTATCCGTTTTGGTTGATATCGATAATGTGGATGATCAATTTTATGTTGCACGCGTAAACGTTCAGCTATATCATAAAACGGTTGTTTTTCTTCTTTAGGCATTGTTCTAAACATAATATAATATAAGAATATTAATATTAAATTAGATATAAGAGATTCTCTTACTTCCATTTTGATCCCAATTCTTTACTTAATTGTGCATGATCAATTGTTTGATCATATATCATTTTTTGAGAATGTTCTTTTCTAACATGTTTAGACCAAACAAGAAATGCATTCATTGGACGTTTAACACGATCGGATACTGCAGAATCAGGAGAACACGGTGAGTCGGGTACTACTAAAACATTCTATAGAAAGAAAAAAGGAAATTGAAGTACTTTAAAAAAAAAAAAATTTTAAACATTCATGATGTTTGTATGTCATGCTTAATGCAATCGAAATCAGTCATAGTTTTGTAAATGCTTCTAATATAAACTACGCCTATTCAACCAAGTACACTGTAAATTAGGTTTATGTATCAGCTAATCTTGATCAATTAAAAGTTATATATTTATACATAATAGCGGTTAATTATGTTTTACTTTCAAGTATAAGAAAATAAATTATACCCTGAACAATACAAGGTCAGTATAAATCTTCGTACCTTTTCAACTTTCGAAATAGAATATTATGACGAACCATTGACTAGAAAACATCTTCTCACATAATTATTAATTAAAGAGATGATGCGACTCTAGGGAACGTGCCAAATATTATCATCATCGTTACAAGAAAAAAAATTTGTACATCATTAAACTTAAGATATACCGTGTTTTGACATTTCTCAGTAGTGTTTCATTTACTCATAGTTCATATATTCGCGAACTCATGATTTGTACTAAAGAATTCATGATTATTCTCAAATATTTAACAGGAATTCGATTTATGCATAATAGTCAAATTGAACAACTATCCAATTAAGAACAACAACATTCATGGATCGTCAATGAACAACGATAAGACGTGTCACGTAATCTGATTAACGCTATACAAGCCTCCTAGTTTAAAAATGATAAATAGTGAATTTAACTTAAATTTCAAAATAATCTTTTGTTGTAGAACCGTTCTACAACAAGTGGAGGATCGGCAGAGATAGAAGCCCACAAGCAACTTGAAGTTGATGTCTGGAGATGAAAGTGAGTCAAATGTACATGGAGTAAAGAGAGGTGCAAGTGAAAAGTATTTACTACAAACTTTTGACCCCATACGAATTAAACTTTCTATCATTCATTACACAATTAATAACGGCAACGCGGAAATAATTCATTCTCACAGGTTTCCTCGTTACATCGTCCTCAGCAATCAAAACTACATTATTCTTCGAATTTTAAATTTCCACCGTTTATAATTCGATTAAAAACCGAGTGAAATAAAAGTACTAACAAATTTAATTCTAAACTAAATGTATCGTTCGCTCGCTATTCGAAATTCGCTCAAAGAGCATCTGTTTTATTGATCTTTGCTACATGATCCATTCACATTCGAAGAACTACAACCGATGGAGAAATAGTCGCAAGATCTATGCAATTTCATATGGAAGCACCGAAACGGATACCAGCCTTCTATTCAATAATAATTAATGATGCCACAAAAGAACGGGATGTGAAGGAAATTCGAGAAAGTGTTGAATTGAACTAGCAGTTTGTCGTTAAAATTCATCGAATTTACAATAACAACTCTTCGTCCGATCGATTACCTTCGTTCGTTCGACGAAATACAAAAGATTTTAAATGAAGGCTATATTTAATTGGCTCTGTTTGTTATCACACAAAATCTTATAAAACACTACTTCGTTTGATTAAATATTTTTAAATGTCAGGATTTTGGTCATCGATCAGCGCAATGTCATATCGACTCGAAATACTTTAAATGTGGCGAAGAATATGATTATAGTCCGCGTTGTGAAAAGTCAGTCCGCTGTTCAAATTGCATAGACAACCATATGACTGGCTCTCATCAGTGTCCGTACAAATTAGTTATAGGGAGAATTTAGTAGAAAAAATGAAGAGAAAACTAGAAGCAACGAAAATAGTTTCACCAAACCGAAGTTCAAGGCCAAAAAAAAGTGATCGATGAGTTAGAAAAAGATGCAACGCAGTGGAAACAGCCCGTGACTGTAAAGAAAACATATTGGGAATGGATATATGTTCGAATCTCTCTGCCTGACATTGTTTTGAAATACGGTCAAACAACGCTGCCATGGCTCCATGTTTTCCAAATACGTAGGCTTTTGTACAGACGACATGTGAGCTTTGGTGCTCATGTGAAAAAGATAGATGAAAAAATTAAAAGAAATACGACGACTCTGCACTCGATTACGAAATTCAAAACGACAAATCTACATAAGTTTAGTAGTCAATGGTGGGACGTCACAAATGTCGAAATGGCGTTCGCGGATAAATTTAAAATAGTACGCATAGTAACAAAATACTTTTTATCCATGTTCATCCCAAAAGCACTGACACTAATATCAGAGTTTTTCGAGCAGTATCTTCAGCAGAAAACAACTAAAATGCACTTTCTAATGCATCGCGAGCATCATTTCATTAACATCTATCCGACGGACGACCATCGCGACGCGTCACACGTTGGCAACAAATTAACATGAGATACTGCTAAATTATATTATTATTATTAGTTTTTACTGCTAAATTATATTTCTTTTTGAAAATTTTTTACAACTTATGAGGGAATATATTTGAGAGCTCTGTCGAACGATGTATAATAAGTTCAAAAAAAAGTTTGCTCAACTTTTGCACGCACCTCAGGCAAAATAGATCATGTTCTCTCTTATATCGAGATCTCAACGAGGGCAGCTAAGATATATATATTTGTGATCAGCGTAAAATTCTCGTCAAGATAGACGTTTGTGACTCTTTTTCTAGGGGAGTCACTCAAATATGTTCCCTCGTTAGCACGGCATAGTCAGAAGTGTTAATAGCTAGTGGAAAAAAGTAACATTAATAAATTAAGAACAATAAGCGTATAATTGCACTCTATAAAATCTTACCTCACTATCCGGTGAACACATATTACAATTGAAAAACAAAATGATCTTTGCTTATTTAATACGACCAGATGAAAACTTTGGCCAAAATAGACAACATCTTCTGCAATGAAAAATACAGGCTGTGCACATAAAATATAGAAAAAAGAGATAATATACAAAAATTAAATGTTATGAACCATGGAAAAGTTATTCTGATAATTCTATTTACTCCTCTACTGATTTCTACTACGAATCGAATTTGAAAAAAGTTTAGTGAAACGTCCAGGTTTTTCCTGTCACATATTGAAATATTAAAAACGCTTCTAAAAAGATACTGTCTCCGTCTGAATTTGTATTTTTGAATGAAATGACAAAACATTGAGAGACTTTTACACGTAACTTACTGCCTTCTTTTCACATATTTAACGGTTTGCAGAAACAAACTCAATATATATAAAATTTCTGGAAACAAAAGAGTTTTCACTATGACTTAGATTACAACTGTACCAAGTGTTATTAAAAGTAAAATTAAATAAAATGTCTTACCAACTATTTTTCTATATTTTCTTATTTGATCTAACGAGCAACAAAATGGATGATAACACGTGTATATTTCATTCTTACATACATACATGTATGTATTTATGCTTCAAAGTAGATCGAAAATGACACGATATTTATTGACAGGATGAGAAAGTGAATTTTAGAGTAAAAAAAAAGGAAATTCCAGTGGCCAATCCATAGCAATATTTTCCAAATGCATAGATAACTCTTTCTAAATAAGTTAGATAAAGACTTCTAGTTGAAAAAGATTTGGAATCTCTTTGTTATATGATCAACAGTTTACAGAGATATGTGAGTGCAATTTTGTCTAGTTTTTTTACGCTAATATTATTGAGATTAGATTTAAACGTTAAAGTATTCAATTAGAAGATTTAACAGATTAACAGATTTCATTTTTCCGACGGGAAATACTCTTCTCTTTGGCCACTGGAGAGCAACTAACTAGACTGGATAAACTTCTGCTGTAGCGATGATGAATCGTTTATAAAAGACAAATTTGCCGTTTTTCATGTTAAAATCTCATCTTATTAATAGTTTTTCAATATTTCTTAAACTAACACAGTTTAAATATATAATCGAAATTAATCAATCATTTTGAAATTCGATGTCTGTTGGGCTGGATTGTGTTTGTCGACGGCTGTTCATTGGAAAAGGTTATAGAACAATGAAAATATCCCTTGAAAACAATTATTTATTAATTAGCGCTTATTCTAGAAGCTCTGGAATATGATGAAGCATGTATTTTACATGATTTCAAATGGATTTTGACACAAGAATGCCTTTCATGGAGAGAGATTATGTCATAATATAGAATTTAAACATTTTAGCGAAAAACAATTAGTATTGTAAATCAAAATGAGCCATAATCAGTAAGAAAAAGTTTATCGTGAATAGCTGCTAACCTAGTAAAAATCCTAAAGATTTCTTTAAAATTATCTTACATTTTAAGATTTTAATAAGATAATCAAAGGTCTCAATTAAGATTCGAATAAGGAAGCCTTACTCTTTCATTCTTCTTTTTGTTTCAGCGATTTTCACAACATGGGTTATGACTGCGATGGGGAGGGAAGGGAGCACACGTGATCTGGAGAGAAGTTAGGAAGAAAATTATTTCCACAACGGCCGACAAACACGTCAGATTCTCGACAGGGCCATAGCCAGGGGAGGGGATTGAGAGAACCGGTACCCCCCTGGACTTTTGAAAAAATGATTCTTTTCCACTGATGCTGTTAGAAAAAAATTGCTAGTTGATAAGACTTCACACTATCTCTGAAGGCAAAAAACTCGATTCCCCTTCGCAAAAATCTTGGCTACGGGCCTGATTCTCCATCAGGTTTTATGATTTTATAACGAGCTTGGAACTCGTATTCATTCTAGTAGTGGTTTTTTCCTTTGTTATCGACGCATCAGTACATCTTTACATGACTAGTCATATGTATAATGAGAAAATTTTGTTTTCTCTAGCAAAAATGTTCTTTCTTTCTAGACTCTTTTTTTCGCGTTCGAGTCAACCAATCATTCTCGGCCATCTCTGATCATATAGATTTCATGAAAAGATCACTTGAAAGTAGAAGAGTCAGAGATAACACATTCGAAGCTATTTTTGAGATATCTGCTGTAGTTATCCTATAATTCTACAAAATGAGCATATTTTTTAGAAAACTCTATCGTTGTTATAAACTTTATTTAATAGAAATGTTGAAAAAATCAGTACAATTATGATTAGAAGGAGGCAAACCCATTACATCTTAACATAAATTGACGTTTACTAGAGCGTTCACGTCATTTTCAAAGTTCGTATTTGCTGGTAATACTATTGACACTCCAAGAAGAAATGCTGTACTGTTTCAGCTTTCCCAGAAGCACACTGAGAGCTATCCAAGCAGACAAACTTTTTCGAAAACGCGTTTAAGCGCACAAAAAATCGAGAAAAAGTGGGCGTGTTTGGATGACAATCGGGGTTCCCGACTATGAGCGAAAAACGCCCATTTTTCGCCCTTCTGGTGCGTTTAAACGCGAAACGCGTTTTCCGTCCAAAAACGCGTGTTAATGCATAAAAAAAAGAAAAAAAGTGGTCGTTTTTTCATAC